GTGTGTGTGTGTGTGTGTGTGTGTGTGTGTGTGTGTGTGTGTTTTATGTAGAGGGAGACATCCGGTTCTTCCACTATCATGCGCCACCTTACTTCCTTGAAACAAGATCTCTCACTGAACCTGAAGCTTTCTGCTTAGGTTAACCAGCAAGTTCTCAGGATCCATCTATCTCTAACCCCCAACCCCACTCCCCAGTACCGGGGTTATAGGTACACACAGCAATACCAGCTTTTGATGAGGGTGCTGGGGACACAAACTCAGTTCTTCAAACTTTCACTGCAAGTATTTTTACCCAATGAACCACCTCCCCAGCCCCTTGAACAAAAATTTTTAAACTTTATATTATAGAGGCTCTCACTTTTATCTAAGAAAACTGAAATGATATCTTGGGAAACTGAAGATTTAAAAGAATGCTATATATGCATGCGGACATTATGGTTCAGTGAAGGAAAAGATGGAAAATTGAAACTCTGAGAAAGGAATTGAAATACGTCCAATGTACAAGTTGGGGAATAGCTGGATAAAAGGGACAGAGAAAGACTTCTATGCCAGTCAGGCTCAGGCAGACGCTTCGGTGTAGACACAGTGAGAATGGGTAAGAATTTAGAGAATGTGTAACTGGACAAAGAATTGCCTAAGCACAGGTAGAACACACATAAGCCCAAACGTGTGCAGAGTGGGATCCAGGATGGAAGAAAAAGAAACTATGACCCATTTCCTCACCTATAACATTTCAATTATTCTAGTTTCCCAATAGTTTTCTCCTGAACACTAGTTTTATTTTATTTTGTCACCTTTTATTAACTTATAAGGTACAAGCAGGAAATTATACAACTGACCACTGAACTTCTCTGTGATTTCTTAATTTGAGAGTAGCTCAAGTACTACCCATGTCAACAGTCTATCACCAGCATCCAGAAGTCTCCTTCCCAATGCCCCCCGGAAGTGTTAACACCTGTATTTCCAATTTATCCATCAGTGTGCCTGCTTTTGAAATTTATGAAAGTGGAATACAATATCTACACTTCTGTCTGATTTCATTCCCTGAGGATGTCTGTGGAATCCATCGATACTGTCGGGTATAACTTGAGTCTATTCACACAGTGATATAATATTTATCCCATTACATGAACACATTTTCATGCTTTTGTCCATGTAGTGCTGATGGGAATTTGGTTGTTTTCAGCTTGGGACTACTGTGAACACTGATACTCTAAACATTCCTACACACTCTTTGAATGAACACGTGTGCTCAGTTCTTCTGGGCTTGTACCCAAGAATAGATGAGCTGGCCATCAGGCTGTGCAAAGTTGCTGTGCAGATTTACACTCCACAGTAGCATAGGAGGGTTTTGCTTGTTCCACATTCTTCTCACTAACACCTGGGGTCACAAAGGTGCAGCAGTCTCTCGTTAGAGAGTCTATTTGCATTCCCTTGAGAGTGGAAATGATGGAGTAGCTGTTCATATTTCCATATGACTTTTGGCCATGGGGACTGTTTTATGAAGTGTTCACTCTTCTGCATGCTATCTTGAAACATAGTTAGTGGTCTTCTCAGCCATCATCGTGTCTTCTAACAAATGTGGTACATGGGGCTAGAAGCTTCTCTGGAACATGTTATGCAATTATTGACAGTATTTTTCTCACGAGAAGAAATTATTTGCTTCTTTTCTTTATCCTCCCATTATGCCAAACTACTTGTTTACTATTTCTGTCTTTTAACCCTTTTTGCCTTTTAATACAAAAAAAAAAAAGCCAATAAAAAGAGGCGAATTAGCAATGTCGAAGTACTGCAGAGGATTCAATAACATGTCTGCTTCAGACAGACAGCAGTCCCACTAGAGAGGGGTCAGCCTAGAATTTGCTGTTTTGCTTTGCTCCTATTTGTGTATTTTCAGTTTTAAAAAAAACTAAGCATGCCTATCTATTTGTGTGGAAAAAAAAGTGATCAATGATAAAAAATTAATAAGTTTAAATGTGTCCTCTTGGTCAACATATGTGTAGATTAATGTTTAATCAGCACTTTAAAGGAATATCAGATGGAAAATGGGAGGGGAAAAAACACTTTGTAAAAAGGTATGACTATGTATGATAGTGTATAGTGCTTGCCCTTCAAGTATGACAACCTGAGTTCTATCCCCACAACCCAGATGCTGTGGTGGCACTCATGCTGGACAGTATGATACGGAAGGATCCTGGGGTTCACTGACCAGCCGCCTAGCCTGTTCCCTCCGGAAGCTCTAGGCCAGGGGACGCTGTCTCAAAAGAAAACTAGGTAGATAGTTCCTAAGGAACAACACTAAAGGTTGCCCTCTTATCTATACATGTATTTACACACATGTGTGCCTGCACACACACATGCAAAAACACATGCAAAAGAAATGAATAAAATGAATAAAAAAGCAAAATGCGCAAGTGCTTCCTTTCCTCAGACTAAACACAGTTACACTCTGCAACAAATAAAGTGGCCATGACCTTTTCCTTCCTTTGCATGATTAATTAATGTGCTATTAATTGGAGGATATGGCTGAATTTCAAACACTTTTATTTTCTGTGCACATCATCCTTTACCGTAACCGCCGATTAAGCTGTAAAAGGTGAGCAACAAGGTCATCGGAACACCCTCCTCAGCTATTCATTACCCACCATCGATGGTAATTAATAATGGCAACATTTCCATAAATCAACGTCTTTCTGATTATTCTCTGATGATAAACAGTCAAAATGTGTGCAGTCCAACCCACCTTTTTTAATAGTACATGAAAAATTCAATCTAAATATACCACTGAGAAAATTTAGGTGAAAGTTTACTGTAGTTTCTTTAATTAAAATGTACCAGGAAAATAAGGTTATATATCTTTGAAAGAAGAACACAAAACAATGCACAAAATGAAGCAAATTGGACAACAGTGTCAGGGTCAGACATAAGGCACAAAGCATGTCAACTACAGCGAGGCAATGTATTCCTCCATAAGGGAAGTTACGCCTTAGTCTGGTCTCAGAAATAACCATTTGCATCCTCAGTCAAGGAAAGCTACATCCGTAATAAAAAGCACACAGGCATACATCACAGAATCAAACTATACAAAATACTTCTAAAGAATATGCTCACTGTGTTTATTCACAACCCTCATTCAGGCGTCTAAGTTATATATTTTATTTTATTTGCTTTGTGTGCTTGTGGTGTGTTGTTAATTATTGTTGATATTTTTCCTTTTGTTTTTATAAATAACATGAACTAAGAACTTTTAAAAATCATCATAATTGACATTTCCACTTGAAATGGTTATGTCTGTCTAAGAGTGTTATATCTAAAATTCATGGGCAGTTATGAAGGATATTCTGAATTTATAGAAAATAAATCAATCACAAGCTATTTTCATATAATCATAATCAAATACAAACATTACACTTGAAAACAAATTACTAACAGAAAATCAAAATGTCAATTATGTTATACCTATGTGTTTTATATGTAATTATTTCCTTCTTTCTAAACATTTGAAAGGAAAAATAACTTGTTCTCTTTAGTATTATACTTCAAAACTTATGAGTATATTTCTAATTTTTACAATTGCTTAGGATACAATGTAGAATTAGTTCCAAATTAATATGTAGAATTGAAAGCACAAATATTAGTTTGAGGTTGTATTAAATGGAAGGTATATATTGATATCCTATCTGGATGTGTTTTTCACATATCCAAGAAAAATCATGGTGTCTTAAGCAAGCAGAAAATGCATCCTATCATAAAATCAAAAACACACAGCATTCAAGAGTTATATGCAAATAATAAACAGGTTTCTACCTCATTTCTACATAATTCACTCGGAAAAGATAATCACTGGGTAATTTTGTCTCCAAGGTATCTCCCCACAGAACCACTGAGAAGCTCACGTCTCCTGGGAGATTGAGAGAGCTGCTTTCCTGACCATGAGTTAGTTCATCCTTCCCCCTAGCCTGGCTCCATCACATCTGTGAAATTGAACTGAGTAAGTTCCAAATGAGTTGATCTCATGTTTAAGATACTTTTCAATAAATTTCATTTGTTCAGATTTTTTGGCTTTTGTGTTATTTTGTTTTAGTTTGTCATTTTTAAGGGAAAAAAAAAACCAATTAATATTAATATAGTTACATGGTTTTCTTCCAAAACCAAGGAAAGATATGCTAAGTTCTGAAACATAGAGGGAAGTTTATAGAATGTTAAGGGAAGAGTGAATAATATTTTAAGACTTTTAGATAGACATAAATTGGATTATAACAAATTGCTATTGTTAAATATGAGAAAATGTTCTTTACTCTGAAACTGTTCTAACACTAAGTAAAGAGAGTGTTGTTTCTCACCTTGAGGCATTTCGGGAGGCAGGTAATGAGGTTCCTGTGCACTGACATGGACCCATTCAAAGTCATCATACAGATCCTGGTGGTAGTCACAAGCCCCTGGTCCATCATCAAAAGTACAGCCACCTAGAAAGAGAAACATGGAACATCATTATATACTATACACATTATCTACACTTGGTGAAATTAGTGTATTCGATTTGAATAAGAAAACTATTTGATCCTCAGAAGGAAAGCTGAAGTTTTGAATTATTTTCAAAAAGATGTACATAATGAGGCTTTCCTGCAATATACAAATCACCTACAATCTAAATACTTTAGTGGAGAAAAAGGTAGACGGGTAGAAACTGTCTTTCTCTGTAATGCAAGTTCAAGAAAGCAAAGCTCATATTTATGCCTTATCAATCCCTTGATCTAAAAGAAGTCTATAAAAGCGACTCCTAACAGGAAATGAAACACAGGAAGTTCTACTGGGGTCTAAAGTGTTTGAGGTCTGTGATAGGCTTTTCTGTACATTATTTATTTTAATATACAATTACAATTTAAAGTGGAGAAACTGAAGCACAAAATCAATTGGATTAGCCTAAAACCACTCCCACCACTTTCACTTTACTTAATAACCTGACTGTTAGAGAGTAAGCAGCCTTTCCTTTTCTATCAGTCATCTCCCCAGCCTCCCCAGCTTTATGTTTTCTAGGTAATTTTATGGAAGAAGTAGAACAATCACTTTTCCTTCTTGGCCCATATATACACAAGGTACACACAAACTGGCTGATTTATTTATTCAAATCAAGAAATAAGAACTGGCCTAAATGTCTAATCCTAAAAGAAAATGGATTAAAACTAATGAAAATCTAGCAGTAGCTTTAATGAGAAAACCCAATAACCTGTCTCCTTTCAAGTAGCTTACTTGCTTAGTTTCCATGGGGATCTATGTGGGGAAACTCTGAGAATTCCAGGGCAAGCAATAACAGCTAAAAGGAGGTAAACTTCAGGCCATTAAACTCTTCTAACTCTCCTCAAAAGTTTGTCATTTTGGCGGCTGGAGAGATGGCTTGGAGAGATGGCTCCGAAGTTAAGAGCACTGACTGCTCTTTTAGAGGACCTGAATTTGGTTCTCAGCACTCACACAGCAGCTCAGAACCATTAGCTGAATAGGGACGCAGGGTGAGGCAATTGGAGTACCCCTTCAATGGGTCTATCTAAAAGACTCCCAAATTGCATAACTCTTATCTCCAGGAGGAAAAGAATCTTTGAATCGTGAATAGGAGATGTGAAGAAGTAAAGGCAAGAGTAATTAGCATTACAAGTTATTAGAAACCCCATTTCTAGAGGATCAGATGCCCTCTATCGACCTCAGAGAGAGAGCATTGCACAACACAGATGTATTAACATACATGCAGGCAGACTACATGTACACATAAAATTAAAATTAATCAAAAAATGCTTGCCACTTTGGATATGAATGAAAGACACAATCCTCACCAATGACAGAGTGGCGACATCAAACATAAAACTGTAAACGACAAAAGACACTGTAGTCTCCAAATACTGTGGGTTCCCTTGAGTTCTCTTACGACTATAGAATTCCTTTATAATAACCCAAAGTTCGGCAGCTGGAGCACTTAGTATTATCTCTTAAATATGCTTAAAATGGCCCTTTTTACATAGGCTCACATGAAAAATGATGCACTTTTTAATTTAAAATCAAACGACAAAAGACCAGGAAATGCATCTTAACATAGCAAAGATTTTCTTAAAAATATAATTTGCTATCACAACCCCAAAATGATTTATTGCTTTGCAACACATGCCTTCAGGGTCCCCGTTACCCTTTACCCTGGTATAAGTGCCCTCTGCATATAAATTTAAACTACCAGTAGAATTCACACTGACTGATTTAGAAGACAAATGGCCGTAATTGCTGCCCTTCATAGACGTGGTTAATTTTAGACTCCAGCATTCTGATTAGCAGTAACAACTAGGGTAGCTGTACACAGTAAGTGGGCCAACATTGCATATCATTGCCATGTGAGAAATGTGTCAAAAGACTCATGAAACACATTCCTGCTCTACATGACTTCCAGAATAAGAAAAATCTTTAAAGGTGAATTTTCAATTTATACTTTACAATAAGTTCTAAGTGAAAAAGTGTTCCACAGCTCTTAAATACATGTAAAGCACATTTATAAATCTGGGGTGCAAGATTTTTATAATAATTTCTGTAATGGAGTTTCTCAAGTTAAGAGCTAATACAGCAAAGATGAAGAACAGATGACAAGAAATACAATGCAATAATAATAATTCCAGGCGAATGGATGAAACAGAATGACATATGGGATAACAAAATGACTAAAATTCTAAAAAACCCAAAAGAACCAGTTGCATACACCAGATTAGATTGATTAGGAGATAGCTTTCTAAATTATACCTAAGGAAGATAAGTAAGAATGAAGCAAGAATGAAAACTCTTTGAAAACCCCAACCCCATTTAGTGTGTA